TTGTGTTATGTACTCCTGCCTTGTCCCCATGCTGTTCCCCTTTTACCACTCACAAGGTTAGTAGTTAGAATATTTAATCTTAAATTGCAAGACTAGAAAGGCTGTTCTGAGTGGAAGCTGAGACTTGTGTAGGTGCACACCTTTGGGATTTGGTGCCTTCAGGAAAAATGCAAATGTGAAATAAAACTCTACTCTCATCCACCCCACTTAGAGTGCATTGGATTTGTGGCCCACAGACAGCTAGTGAAAGGCATAAGAGAAGGGTGATGTGCAATGGAGCTTTGCTTCAGCCTCAGTGTGAGATTCAGGAGTGCCTTGAGCCAGGTTAGCAGTATTCCTACTTCACAGACCTCCATGTGGTTGATTATTTTGACTGCATTTTTCTATAAACATGTATATTCCCTTTTCAAAATGTAAACCCAAGAATGAATTATATTCCTTCTGGAGATGCTTTTACTTATCTCTGATCTTTTCCTGTTGTGCAGTGGCTCACGCTCTTGCTTCATGTTGATCCAATTATCTGTTCATTGGAATCTTAAGTCCTGAGCTGTGTGTAGGGTGTCTTTGTTTAAAGGGCAGTCTTTTAATGCAAATATTAAGCTAGAGCTTTCTGGCTTGCCTGACTCAGACTGAGGAGCTAATAATAGCCTTAGTGTTAGTCCTGGCTAACAGAGAGCACTGGTGTATAAAGGCCTTAAGGAATTGGTGTATCAATCAAATCAGAGCATAATAGACATATTTGGTTTATTTTAACACTTAAACTCCCATTAAGAAATATTTTGAATGCAAAGGACACAAGAGTAAAAGTGGAGCTCTCCTTGTCTAAATGTACCATTGCAGAACCACAGAATGGCTTGAGTTGGAAGGGACCTCAAGGATCATGAATCTCCAACTCCCCTGGCACAGGCAGGGCCACCAACATTTCTCCACATTTAATAACCGACAGGGCCCCATCCAACCTGGTATTCAACACCTCCAGGGATGGACGGGGCATCCACAGTCTCTTTGACATTACGTCCACTTGTTTCATTTTAGTCTTAGATGGCACCTATTGAGCAGAGAGCCTTAACACACAACTGTGTTTTGTGTGGTACTTTTGTTCCAGCAGCTTGCTTGTTTATTGGTTATATGTATCAAAGAGCAGTGAGACAGAGGGCTGAACTTCATGTGTTGTGAGCTGGGAGTTGTGTTTGAGGAGGGGATGTGTGTTACCCCCTGGTTTTGCCAGCAAAGGATTCCATGTTATGCAACTACTGCAATTGAATTGCAGTGTAGCAGAGGTTTCAATATTTGCCTTTACGTTATCCCAAGGGCATGCTGGGGAAATGGCTTGCTTTGAATAAATCTTAATAAGCATTTGACTTTATGCTGCTGCCTTTCTTTATTCTGTGAGTGCTGTTTGTTCCTATTAACTGTATCATAGAAGTCAATACAGCCATTCCTACACACGTGGCAACAGCACACGAGAGGAATTTATAGGATGGGCTCAGTCTGTCATTACAACAATTGTCAGCTTCGTTCTTTTATTTATGGAAGAGTGGTGCAGATGAATGTACCTTTATCTGGAAATTTTTAGGCAATTCTAATAAAAGGAGATATGCATGAATTATCAGTACATGATGTTCCATTCACTAGAGGGAGAGTCATTTAAAAAAGCCTGCTAAGTGAGACATGGTTGCTAAGTAAGGCAAGGGTTTTATTAGACCAACTGACGTAATGGAAAAAGAAAGCAGGCAAGATTTTGGGCATACAAAGAGCTGCTTTGGATGTGAAACAAACAGCAGACTGTGCTAAGAATGGGCTGAGAACAATTGCTTTGAACTTAAACTAAATACGTTGAGTGCTGAGGTAATGTGAGAGGAAGGAATAGCTGGCACACATGGGCTGTTGAGTAGTGGAGGTGACATGGAAACAGAGCAAGGGTGGCTTCAGGAGGAATTCGAGGCAATCTGAAACTACACTGCTGCTGTCTTCTGCTTTGCTTTGCAATGTTGGCAGGCTCAAAGAATAGGAAGTGTGGAGCAATCTAACAAACATCTATAACTGCAATCTCCCCATGGAGGAAGAAATACATGGGGTAGTGGGGAAGGGATCTGAAGGGGCCATCCAGAGCCAGCCCAATCTGTCCACAGAAACCTTCTCCCAAGAACCTAAGGGATGGAATGTGGGGAAAGTGATGTGCCTTAATTCTGTGTCTTGCTCTCAGTCAGCAGCAGAGCTTACATTCTCAGAGCTGACTAGAATTCTGCCTCCTGTGAGGAAGTGGATTAAAGGTACTTTTGAAAGCTGGGGAAAGGCCCCTGGGGGCTGACAATCTTTCTGTATTCTGGTGCAAGTTGTCTGGTGTGCTGTGGTTGATTGCTGCAGCAGTGGTCTCCAGGAGGATCCACAGTGATGGAAGCATATATTACATTCTGCAGAACAGTTGTGTAAGAGATGGAGGTCATGATGTTTTCATTTTGGAAAAAACTGAAATGTGGTAGTTCTGAAGATGTCTGTTTGAATGGTCGTTACAGACGGTGTGTGTTGCTCCCACTGAAAGTGTAGTTTAGGCTGATGGATATTTGCAGCTACTTCAGTGCCTGGAAGAAATAGGCATCTTAGTTCAGGGGACTACTTTTTATCAAGGTAAGTTTATCCAGGACAAATGTACTATTTATGTCTTTCTATAATAAGATGGGCAGCCTATGTAATGAAAATAATGTCCACAGTCGTGCCCCAGTCATCCTGTCTGGAACTATTTGGTTGTGTTTCTTTTACTTTTTATTTTTTATCAGCAGCACCTTTCAGCGTGCTTGAGTTTCTCATTTGAGGTGTTTTGTGTGACTGTAGGCCCCTTAGTGTTGAGTCTTCTCCAATAGCAGTGCATAAGTTGCTGCTTTTCATGCCAGTTGGGGAGATACCATCCAGTAATAATGGAGAGGGGGGAATGATTCAATTGTGGTGTCCAATTTTTCAGTTCTTATACTGCTTGCCTTGGGTACCCTGTAGTTCTGGTAGACCTCCTTGTAGAGGAACTGGCAGGTTATGCATTAGAATGGTGTAGATAAGATTATGATTTGGCAACCAAATCTTGGTCTGTTTTATTGATAGTAGAACAAATAAAACCAGTGCTGATTAGATGAGCTGGTGGCTGCTCCTTCCTCTTGTTCTTTTGGTAACCAAAGTCACACCTGACACTTCTGCTATTCTGTAGAGTGGCTTTGATCTAGGCAGGCAGCTTTTTCAAGTGTTTAACTCACTGGTAAAAATGATCCTGCTTATAGGATTTTCCTGTTCTGCACAGGCTTAATTTAATGATGTTGGTAAGCTACCTGAAGACCTGTAGATGAAAGATCTACTTCTTATTAGACGGGCTTCATTGTGTGGTGTTTGGAATAACGAGGCTGCAAAGTACTTTGGGGCCCCTGACGTAAAAAGCCCAGTAAATCCTGAAAGAGATATTGCCAATATCCAGTGTAGTTAATGATAATTCTAGCTGCCCAGCTGCTGTTAGGCTAGAAATATTTATCGCATTAATGGTGAAAGCAAGTTGCTTTCTATCCATTCTATCACAACCTCACGTTTATGCCTTTGTCAGTTGACAGTGTGTATTCTTCTTAGCCTGACCAGGGGTCTCTCAAACTGTTTCTGGAAGAACTCCCCTGTTAGCCGTGTGGCACACCTGCTGCATGTTTACAAATACTAAATGAGAACAGATATACAAAGTTCATGGTTTTGTCTCTGTGTTTTAATCACTGAGGTTTGCATTTACAAAGGCTCTGTGGCTAGAGCTTGCTGCTCTGATGGAGCTTAATTATTATGTTAGCAATCTGCATGCTATTCCAGAAATAGCTTTATTTCAGTTTTGCTACATGAGTCTACTGTATTGAAAGTCACCAAAAAGCTTTGTAGCTTCAGTTCACTTTGTATGCTCTATGCAGAATTATTTTCTGTTATTCAGAACTTTCCAATTTACACCAGGAATAGAATTAGAGCAAGGCTGGCAGCATCTCTGCAAAACCCTCGGTCCTTTTGTAACCGGAGCTTGGTAGCAGGATAAGGAATACATACCATCCTACAAAGCAACACTTTTATTTTGCTCTTGCTGTTTTTGGAATCCTCAGTAGGGAACAAATGTGCTTTCTCTTTAAATCTCATATGCTCCCCTGAGGAGACAGATAGCAGAGGGGGGCTCTTACAGAATGCCCTTTTCCCACAACAATTGCTTAGATACATCTTATCTGCACTTGAATCAATGGAGCAGCTCCCATTGAATTGTACAGCCTGAATTTCATTGTAAGTTCTGTTCGGTTTACATGCTGTTTTCTAAGGCAGAATCTGTTTCTATTATTTATACTCAGTCTGGCTATCTGGGAGCTGCTCTGCAGAGGTCAGTGCCTGTTCCCACCCCGCTTTGTCAGCTCGATAGTGGCTCCATAGGGAGCAGTGGGGCTCCCAGCACTTCCAGCATAGGCATGGATGGCCTCAAGCGCCTCTTCAGGCTCCCTCACCTCAGCCATCAGCTTTTTGCTTACGAGGCACCACCCTTTGTCAGCAGAGCCTCATCTGAAAGACCATTGTTATCTACAGACAGCAAAGAGTGCTGAGTCGTCCATCACATCCTGCTCAGGCACTGCAGGTCTCATTTTCTGGGAACGAGGTACAATCGCATTTTGCTGGCCCAGCTGTTCAGAGGCCAGCTCTTGTGCAAAAAATTGCTACCAGGATTGTGTTCCTGCTCGTGGCTTATGCAACCAATACAGTAATGAAATCTTGGCTCTGTTCAGGTCTGTGACACTTGCCAGGCTGAATTCTCTGGGCTGATTTGTCAGGTGTTGATGGGTGCTGTGCTCTTGTGATCAGTTCAAGGTGGAAAAAGTCACAGATTGACAGCATTTTTTGGTAGTGTTTCTAACTCTTAACTGTTGCAGGTAGCGTAGCTTTATGTATGTTCTTCCCAGATTTTCAGCTATTGCATTGGAGAGAATGAAATTGATTTTTCTTTTCTTTCCCCAAAGGCCAAATGTCTGCCCCGTGTTGGAGCTGGTGCTGGTGGGACACCAACAGCCGTGTGTTCAGGCCTTCAGCCGCATGGTGAAGATGTGGAAACAGGGCTGCACAGGGAGGAGGTGGTGCATGGGATACGAGAGGAGGTAATTAGTGATATAAATGAATTCTGGTACTGACACTGAGAACAGTTTCTTTGTACTTTGAGAGTTCAGTCTGTGTAATCTCCTGAGATATGTGCAACTTTGTCATGGACGTATCACATCTTGCTGAGTCCTTAAGTCTGTTACTGGGTGGAAAATGTGACTTGTGTGTCTTGGATGTGTCATGGCCTTCTTGACTTAGCTTTAAATTACAATTTTATACTTTGCTACTATGAGATGTGAATAAGCTGACTTGTTCTCTTGAACTGATTCTCTTCGAAGGTCTGGTTACTACACTGTGTACAAGCAGGTGTACAGAATGGAGCACCAGACTGTCTACAAGTGCTGCCCTGGGTGGGCTCAACACAACAGCGAACCTGGCTGCTTGCATAGTAAGTTGATGGCAAAACTGTGACAGAACAATGACTGGAGAGATCATATCCTTATTGCCTTTCTGAATCTTCTTTCCAGAAAGATTTTTCTTGCTATTTATAACTGGGAATTCTAATCGTAAAGAGGCAATCTATAAATGAAGAAGAAACAGCAGTTAGCTTTCCACCCTGAGGTTCTCCATCTGATGAGAACCTGTTCCTATCAGTAATTTTTAAGCATGATTGGATGTTTTCCTAAAACATGGAATTAAGTTTAAACGGTTGGGAAGCACTTTATCCACTGTTAACAAGACGTCAGTAAAAGACAACAATCTACTCGCTGTTTAGTTTTGCTACTCCTTTCATCAGTGGTTGTGTTTTCAGTTTAAAAGCGAGCATCTGTTCCTATGTATTTTTAATCTTCGTACCAACTTGAGGACTGCATTCACAGAGATTGCTTTTGTGTTTTTTCTCTTTATTCTTAAAAAAAAAAAAATCCAACCACCTGAGAGCCTATTAGTGTCAGCATGAATCTGCATGTTTAGTGTGTGCTTCTTCTGTTGTAAGAAGTCAAAGGTATACTTACAATCTGTATATCAGTCTCTGGCATAAAGGAATGTGACATATTTGAGCACTGGTGGCAGTACAGAATTATTTTCTTCTGGAGGAGCAGCTGAGACTTGTTTCAGATTCTTTAAGGCACAAAGGTAGCCAAAGTATTCTTTTGTATTTGTTACTATTAGCAAATTTGGCTCAAGGAGGTGGAATTTAACCTGTTCTAAGTGAATAATATTCTGAGTTGAAAGAAAGTACCTTCATTTCTTCAGACATACATAACATCTAATACCCTGGTGCTGTCTGCCCACTGCTGCATTGCCTTCAGCAGTTCATCCCTTCTGTCATTCCACGGACTTTGAGTCCTATGAAATTGTTTTCTACCTTTGAAGTGTCTTCGGGTGAAACCATGTTGCCCTAGACTATTTTTATTAAAATTAAATTTAATGCTATCAACGTTATAAATATATCTGCTTTCTGACTTTAAAAGAATTTCATTCTATTTAGACATTCCTGTCATAGTAGACTGCGACAAGAGGAGGCAATTCTGGAGAATCCTTAGCACAAAACAAACAAAACTCACTCTGTTTTGTTCTGTTTGTACTAGTGTTGTGTGCTGCTGACACTTGCTTCAATGGAGGGAAGTGTTCTAAAGAAGGACCTCACGTGTGCCAGTGTCCTGCAGGATTTCAGGGTCCTCGCTGCCAGTATGGTGAGTCAAATGTTAACCATTGCAAATTCATCTGTGATGAACGGTGTTGCTCCGTGTTTGAGTAAAATGCATATAGAGGAACACTTATTGCAAATGGAAATACCTTGTATTGTTGGCTGTTGTGATTGGGATAAAGAGTTCCTTTTGTATCAGACTAATGGTAATTTCCTTCTCAGCCATGTTGGAAAAGTCAGCAAACATTGCAACAGGTTTGTGTTTTTCCAGCCCCTGGTCATAGGGAACATCTATTAATTTGTAAGCAAACATTTAAATAAAATGCAGAGCCCTTCACAATGAAACTTCTGACACCAGACTGCAGGATTTCAACCTCTGCCTTCAGGCAGTGCTACTCAGCTAAGCAGACCCCAGGGGTGGTTCTCTGTATGGGCAGGAAAGAAAGAAACGAGTTTACATGTAGCTTGGTACAAACCAGTGTGACACCAATGGAGATTGCTTTGTTATGTACAAGTGCTGCTTCAAGGTAAGCAGGATTAGAATCTCTATGGAGCCCATATAAGAAGCTTTAACCAAATGCAGTATTTCTCAGCAAATTCTACTGTCTTCACTAGACTTTTGAGTCTTCCTTCTGTTGCCTGGAAATACCTACAACACTGAAACACTTCTAACAGCAGATTATGTGGTTGTAGCATGTGGATAGCAGAGGTCAGATTTCCAGCCTGCAATGAGGTTGTGCAGTCTCTATTTCACAGGTTGGTGGCTGCGGACACTGCAGAAACAAAGTGAGGCATCCTGCAGCCCTTGCTCTTTGCAGTCGGGTGGAACTTTATCTTGGTGGCTTGTCTGCTTTCTATTGATTCCGAGGGTTTGAATGGAATTTCAGCAGTCATCATTTTCAGGTTTATACAGTAGCTGCTATCGCAGCCTGGCAGGAGTGAGTTTATAAATTAAATTCTGAAGGGAAAAACCTCTCTTCTGAAAGAACATCATGGACATTTCACCTGCCTAATAAAAGTAAGGTAATTTAGAGTGTAAGGCTTCTTAACCATTGCAGGCATCTCCAGTCAGATGATTGTGAGGCTCATATCGTATTTGTTGCAAACAAAACTAAAGAAAATGTTCTCTGGAGCTTGCAGCCTTAGCATCTGGGCTTTTTCTGAGGGCTTTTTATTTTATTTTCCTGGCTGCGGTTGGAGCACTGCCATTTTAGATAGCCTGAGTTTAATGCAACTGTGTTACTTAACTGTAGTATTTTTTTTTTTTTAAATGGTCATTAAGTCTCCTCTATCCTTCCTGCAACTTTACTGAAAAATAGTTTTCCTTCCTACACTTAACACATAGAACAAGGTGATCTCTTCTACCAAAGGCTTTGACTGTGAGGATTCAGTGAATCAAATGAGTGTCAGACCATAACTTACAGCTTTTGAATATGATCTAGATAATGTTAATTGTAATGGTGTTACACCATGGCATAAATAATGCTGGTATTGGCCACTGTTGGTGCTGTGGCCTCCTCTCAGTGTCTAACAGAGGAGAACCCATTAGCAATTCACAACATGCTCATATGATTTTGTTCTGAGCTGTTGCATGTATCCCATCTATTATCCCTTCAGCCCCTCTGCTCACCGCTTTCTGCTTCTGCCGTTCAGCATTGACAGCTGATTTGAAAGTTTAGTATATGCAAGTGTCCTTCATGATCACCATGCTTAGCATTATGTTCCACAGACAGAGACAACGTTATTGAAAAATAAAATAAAAAAGAGACTTAATTAAAATTAGAGCCTCTTAACAAAAAACAAGCAAGAACAGCAACAACAAAACACCGACACAAACAAATGGAAACATCTCAAGACCTTCCTAATCTGTTTTCCTCTGTTGCATTTAATGTTTGCCCTTAAGTTTATTAGTAAGTAGGTCATCCTCCTGGAGATCCAGCTGCTATGTGCTCTGCATGGTCTGTCCCACAGAAAGTTTGTGGCAGATCATTGGCAATGACTGACGATGGCCCCATGCATCACAGCAATGTGCAGCAGAGGTGATTATTCACAATTGTCACAATCAAATCTAATGAGTTCTCGGGGTGCTTTAGCAGCCTGTAGCACAACGTTATTTCTGATTAGATGCTGAGAAGGTTATGATTCCTGTAACAAACTCCCTGTAATTGTGACTGGAAGAGATGCATTACTGCATCTCTTGTATACCTCAAAGTTTTATTATTTTATCCACACAAGCAGCAATAAAAACTTAGTAGGAAGATTTATGAGTGAAATGGTTGAGCTCTTCATATAGCCATTACAAGGATTCAGTAACAGATTGAGCTGTCTCTCTCTTTGTCTGTTGCAATTTGTCTTATAATAATAGACTGATATCAATTACAATATAAACTTACGAGCTGTTTTTTTTGACTTGCTCAGAAGTTGAGATTCTCATTTCCCTTGAGCCCAGAAAAAGGGACAGAAAACCTGTAATAATAATTAACAAAACCCAGTGCCAAGAATTAAATCTTCTTCAGTGCTGGTTTCATTGTTATTTGCTATTTGTCCTGGTAATCTCAGTCACCTGAGCTGGACTTAGAAGTGAGTTAATTTGATTTAGCTTTTTAACTCAGCCTTGCAAGTTGTACTTGGACATGCAGCTAGTGAGAGCATTCCAAATTCTACAAACAGGAGTAACTTCCCTCCTTGTATAAATAAAAATGCGCAATGTGAAAAATAAGGATTAGTTTTGACTCTTAAACTGAGATCTGATGAAGAAAGGTTTACTGCTCTTTGAAGTTCTTCCTCTTCTGATATTAATGCACAAAATAAAGCAACAGGCTTTGTTGGTTTGACCAAAGCAAAAGCCTTCCATTACAATGACTTTCCAAAAAGCTACTGTGACCAGCAAGGTGACCAAAACTGGGCATCTCTGAGAAGATGGGTATTTTCAGATGATGTTGAAAAGCAGGCATGGAACAACCAAGGCAGACTCCTTAGAAAGTGAGGTTTTCTGTCTTAATCATCAGAGAGAGGCTGAATGCAAAGATGGGATATTCCAGTGTCTTATGAACTCAAAGCACAGATGCCTCAATTTTATAGTGCAGTATTTGCTGTAATGCAGGTGAAACTTGAATTCTTTACACTAGCTAATGAAAATTGCTAAATATTACATGCTTGGGAAGCAGCGTGGTCTATGAATGCACCACACAGTGATGTGTGAGATAAGAGCTGTTTTTCACCTGTCACTGACCTTCATATTCATTGAATATGAATTCAATAACTTTGGCAAATTATACTGCCGTGCCTCAATTTCTTTGTGTGTGAAGTGCTGATAATAATAGTTCGTTTCTTTGTAAAGTGCTTTGAGACCTAAGTAATTAAGCATGAGATAATAGCATTGGAATGTGTATATAAAGGCAAAATGTCCACTGCATGGTTAGCTAAAATGAAATGCTTATGTGATGGATATTTATCAGTTCATTGACTAGCTGTCAATCTATTCCTTAACTTTGGTCACACACTATTAAGGTATTGAACTGTATAAAGATTTTAGTAAACAACTGTGAGCACCTTCTACTCTGAGTGGTTAGGAGTTTGCACTACAGAACTATTTAAAGCAAACGTTTTTTATAAATATTGAATGAAATGGTATGAAGCCCGATGGATCTTCTTGCAACTTAAGAGTACTCTTTCATGGTGAATGTTTCCTTTTCTATTTCTCTAGTAAATGTCTCTAGGAGTTATGTGATGAATGCTCTTCCTGCATAATACTCGTCTCTTGGAGAAATGCATATTTTCTTCTGTGAGACGAAGACCTGGATAAGCTTTACAGGGCAGTATATATATATCCATAAGGCTGTGCTACTCATTTTCCTTTTGAAATATCTTAAAATGGTAGAAGTCAAATCTAAAGCTGCCATGGATCTGTCACCCACAGCGATGCCTTTAGGTTTCATCTTTCCCAGAAGAACTAGATCACATTTGTGGTTTTGAGGGTAGATTAATTCTTTGTATGCTTATGCAGTGCTGTTGATTTTGAGGCAGATCTAGGATCCAAAACCCTTCAAAGTAGTGAAATATTAAAATATGACTTACTAAAGCACAATCACAGCTAGCAAGGTGTTTCATCAGATGTTCACAATAGACTTCGGCACTTCCTCTGTGCTGTGTGAGCACAGGGGAAAGGAGCAGCACAAGGAAATCCCTTTTGTTGGTGCTTTGCTGCCTTTACTTGTGTGGAGGCTGTTTAGAATCCTTCGAGGGAAGGAATTGACTGGATCTGAAGGACAGGGATACTCAGTTTTTCAGTGGAGCCATGCAGCAGGCCAGGCACAGAGCCAGCTCTTGCCTTGTGATGTCATGCAAGCTTGGCACTTAATGTGGTCACTCCTACTGATAGTGTGAGAAGCAGTGTTAGATATGTAAGTTTAAGTATTTCAGAATGCATTTCCATGTGGGGAAAATGGTGGATGGAATTTGGCTTTTTCTACTGCGCAATTTTAATTTATGCTTTATTAGTGCAAATTTGGATAGGCACTGCATTAAAAACTATATGCTGCAGGCAGTTTTATGTAGTTAAAGTATTAGCAAGAGAAAGTATGCTGACATACCTTTGGTGTTTAAAATTAGTATATTAATCAGAGCATCTATTTATAGCCAGTGAACTGAATTGATTGTTTTTTCCTGCTATATCCTACACTGCTTAGAAGTAATTGATCTCGTCTTATGTGCAGGAAAAACACTGTCTTGCTTTCTCAGTCCCTAATTAATTTACCAACTTGTATGACATTTGAGATATGATGAAGTCTTCTGACATAACCTTTGAGCAGATTCTCCTCTTGGTGAAGAGTTGGAGACCTCCAGCACATCAGTGACCTAATTGCCTTGAAAATCTCTGGATCAAATTTCTATTGATTTATTTTTTTTTCTTTTGAACCTAAGCCTTAGTATAGCACACACAAACCTCATATTAGCTTTTTAAATATTTTCAAATAGGAAAGAAAATACCACTTTATTTTTTTCCCCTTTTTAAGATCCATTTTTAATGTACAATGTCAGCTCCTA